AAAACATATAGAAATAAATCTGACAATAAAAAAATGAACAAAATTATCATCAAAATATAGATCTCGACGAGAGGAATCCAACGGTGGGTAGCCCGTCAAGTTCCGACTGCCGGAATACAAATTACACCTCCGGCAAGAACCACCATCGTCGAAATACACACATACTACAAAACAATTGCATAAACAGATCGAATGCTCCAAACTGAATAAATCAATACCTAAAGAAAGAGCTCGACGAGATGAATCCAACAGTAGTTAAACCATCGAATTCCGACCACCGGAGAGAGAGTTATGCCTCCGGGAAGCAATTTCACCGGCTGGAGATCTGTGGGGGCGGGATTTGAATCTGAGATTTGAGAGAGGAAGAGAGAGACGGCTGTGAGTGGCTAGGGTTTAAAAATGATTTTAAAAGGGCAATTTAGGTACTTTAGGGTGGCCGAGGGGGGGTATGTCAAATTATTATCGAAATGGAAGGGGTTTGAACTAGTGTGTAATCCTCATGGTAGTTAGTCCTATATAATTTCGAAATGAGGGGGATCTCCAAAATAATTCCTATTTATAATACATATTAGATAGATGGGCTTATTGGCGAAAGAGATATAACCTCGGAACCTAGAATAATAAAGAGGGTTGGTCAGAGACTTATACATAACAAACACCTTATAAAATTGATCTTGTAGCAAGGAAAAGTTGGTATTGGGCTTTGATATATATAGTTCATTCATAAAATGAAAAAAAAAATCATATATTTATCCTCTTCCTTAATTCAATGAATACTTGCTCGTTGTCTTCACATCATCTCTTCCTTATCTAGCAATGCCTCCAATTTACCGAAAGATCTCTTACTTGTTTGTACTTTTAATGTGTAAGTAAACCGATCTTTAAGAAAATGATTTTCTCATTTGGTTTACTAATCTTTTTGGTCACTTCTCCTAGGGTGTTCACGTGCGGGTTTGGGCAGGTTTACATGGAAAAAGTAACCCGACCCGATATATGGGGGTTACCAAATCTGTAAACTGCAACTGTTCTATTAACCTTATTAACTGCACGGGTTCGGGTTTGGCGAGTGGGCGGGTTGACGGGCGAATTATCGCGTTATATAAAAACCAAAAGAATTCATCTTCTCTCATAAATGTTATCTCTCCAATTTTCACTTTCCTATACTTTCTCCCAACCAATATCTCTCTCTCTCTTCCCACTTTCCCATTTTCCGATACCCTCTCTCTCTCCTTCCACTCCTATCTCTTCCTTGACTTTGCACTTGTTTTAATTTCTCTTTTTATGCACCCAACCTCTCTTCATTTTTTGTCCCTGACTCTCTATTATAGAGATGAAAAAAATGGCAATGGTGACATTAAAAACCCTAAATTTAATCAACACTATATCGATCTTTGACATCCACATATACATATCAGTCGGGTTTTAATAATCAAACCCGAAACCTGACCCATATCAGTCGGGTTTCCCATTTGCAGAACTGCTAACAGTATTTAAAAAAATAAAATATGCGGATGACGGGTGGGCCGGGTCGGGTTTGGCGGCTCGTACGGGTATATGTTCACCCCTAACTCCTCCAATGTTAGGTACAAGTTCCAATAGTTCCAGCCAATCCGTAACAGAAAGAGGGAAATAGATAGAATACAAAAATCAACTCAAGCTTAGAGCGGCATGTATAGATCAACGGCTCAGTTCTCTTTTTCAGTGTTCATTCCAGAAGATTCAAGTTTTGGTGGAAACTCTAAAACAGAAACAGCACCAAGCAACTGCCACTCACCCAAAACTCTAGATTTACCCAGAACTCACCCTAAGTTGACTCACCAACACATCCTAAGTCATCTCAGTCACAACTCACCATCTCCACTAGCACAAACCCTAGTTTTCCTCACTCAAAAATCTCGATCGCTCACAGAAGAGGATTGGAAGTGAAGACACTCAGTTTGAATTAAAGGTAAAGTCTACCTTATCTCTCTCACCATAGTATGTATACAGTAAGATTCAACGGTCCGCAACAATAATTGTGCTGCGGAGTCAAGGACATCCATTGTCTGACAAGACCTGCGACGGTGTCGCCGGAAAACGACAATGGATGACGAAGTACTGTAGAGAGAAAAATGCCGCAACTGAGATTGAGTTGCTAGGGTTTGAGAGTGAGTTTAAGAAAGAGCAAATGAACGTCTAGAATTGATCACGCAAAATGGACGGTCAAGATCAAGTCAGGCTTGGGTAGCAGACTTAAGTTGCTTGAGCCCAAATTCCTTGGATATATTGGGCCTACCAGAATTCTAAGACTGGCCCACGTCTCAAATTTCGTTTGTGGGCTCAAATCTCAACATCCAAAGAAATATTTGCTCCACTTCATCAAACCTTTACAGTGTTCTAGGTTACCCCATTTACCATGGTTATCGTTTGACATCGAGCTAGTTGTACAGTATTTTTCCACTGCGCAATCTTCTGTCTTTAGCCACATTGCTTTGAATTTGAAACCTCGACTTCTTGTATTAAAACCCACATTACTGATGCTTTTCAAATCAATCCGTAGTGGTAGGAGGTCGGAGTAATTGAGAGCCTCGAGATGGACCACCCGATATTACGGGAATTAATTCCTCCATTCGTATGTAGCACACCCCCGATCTATGCGATCTCTTGTTGTATGTGGGTGTTTTTTGTTATTCGACCAAGTATACGGATAGCCTGTAAACCACAAGTCATGCAAACATGAACTAACTTCATACATATCTTTGAACGGAACTGATATAGCTCCACTCATTTCTGAACTTGCTAGCATGGCGTTAAAATCCCCTGCACATAACCAAGGTTTAGGCTCCGTTTGATATGATTAAGTGTTTAATTTTAAATGTTGAATAAATATTTGAATGGGTAAGAGCTGTGTCTGATTGCTGAATGCTGAATAATTAAGATCATTTGATAACTGAATATCAGTAACGTCTGAATACTGTAATTTTCCTGATATCTTGTATAATTCCAAAACATTATTGTTAATTAAACTTGATTAGAATATATGAATAAATATACTTTTTAGCATGATTTGCTTTAGTAAATTATGAAAATTTGGCGGACATTACTTATCTTGATATAAACTTATAATATTTAACATAGATAAAATATAAATTTCAAATTTCAAATTCAAACGACTAATAAAAATAAAATTCATAAATAAAAGCAGAGAAAATATAAAAATACATTAAAGTTATTAAAATTGGTTGAAAAATATTAATTCCTAAAATTAACGTGAAAAAAATTAATAAATTCTAATTGGTCCTGGTCCCTCCAGGCATCAACCGGGTTGCTAGCTCATTGCGCACATTTGCCATGTATTGCATGTCTTCGTCCCCCACCAGGTCCAGTAGTTGTACCATCATTCACAAGGTTTTGCTCATCCTCATTCGTACCATCAAATGGCAAATTAGGTTGATCAAACTCCTCAAAAAGTGTATCACTTATACGCTCTTTCCTTATAAAATTATGCACCGCAAAACAAGCAATCATTGTATTTCTCTGCACATTAAACGAAAAAGGGGCAACTATCGTTTTATGAAGCAGGGGAAAAAATCATTAAGAGGTGTGGAAAAATCCATAAATTTGGCTAATGCAATTACAGTAGATAAAAATTTGTCATGGTGATATAAATTTGTTTGGTATGATAACGATTATTATTGGAATTAAGAATATACATATATATTTTCTTAATTCCAATAACAATCGTTATCATACCAAACAACAAGAGTATTACCTACACTTGTTTTTGGTTGCAGGGATCTTCGATTACAGAATGTGGAGATAGTTGTTGGAGATATCAGCATGTTTGATATGGAAGCTTCTTATGACAGAATATTTTCCATTGAAATATTTGAGGTACCGATTTGTTGCTTGATTCAACTATTATTATTAATTACTATTGGTCATGCTCGTGAAATTTTCTACGCTCACTTATAATACAGCATATGAAAAACTACCGTGATCTTCTTAAGAAGATATCCAAGTGGATGAAATCCGAGAGGGAGATTGATGAAAGAAGAAAGATGAAACTTACCGAATAATTTTCGTTTATGATTTTTGATAGGAGCTTCGAAGCCGCCAAGAGCAGATTGTTAACGGAGATGGAGAGGACAACTATCGTTTTATGAAGTAGGGTAAAAAATCAAAATTTTATTTAAAGATAAAAGAAGGATAAAATAGTCCAAAATTTATTCAAATTTGGCTCTGACCGAATAAGCGTCTAATTTTTCGCGGAATCGTCAAGAGGTATGTGGACCCATTAAGTGGTCCATTAAGCAAAATCAAACGGAGCCTTATTTGAAAGCCCGGAAAGGCGCAGTAAAAATTGCCACGATTAGTATCTCATAGTGTCGTCAAGATCTCCATAGAAGCCCGTAAATCTCAAGTCGATATTAATGTCATCGTTGTAGACGCAAGTATCAACAAGATTCGTTGCATAGCTCTAAAGGACCATAGTTATATCCTTGACCCAAAGGAAGACCGAGTCCCCCTGCGCGCCATTTGCTTCCACTGCAAATCCATTAAAATCGAATTTTCTTTTCACAAACTCAAAATTTCTATTAGCTAATTTTGTTTCTAATAAAAAGATGAGATGGGTTTGTTTACTCGAACGAGATCTTCAAGAGTACAAATTGTACGAGATCCCCCCAACCCTCGACAATTCCAAACGAGACAATTCATATCATAGGACTGATCTAATGAGTTAACGGAGAAAGAACAATGATTCAAAAGATCAAGATCAAAAGTAGCCGCCTCTCACTGCGAAAGAAAAATCACTCCTCAAAACGAGAGAAACCCTAATTTTAGTAATTTTAATTTAATTAATAGAATTTGCATCTCTTGAATCTACACCGAAGTGTTTTTAACTTATTTCTCGTTTTGAACCACAAAAATAACTAGAGTTAGCCATCTTTCGAAGCATGGTGTAAATGTATATATGGTTTGCACATAATTGCAGTCACACATTCCTTTACCAAGAAAAACCAACAAACACGAATACATTACACGAAAAAATGAACCCAATTCACATATTTCAGTGGAAGCAAACCAAAAATGCAGGTGATCAAGATCATATACTATATTACCACATTGACCATGCTTCATATTCTCAATTAGAAATCCGATTACCAAAACATCGACTAAACGCAGATGAAATTACAGGATAAGTTTTATTTTCATTGACTTTACTTACAAAAGAAACTAAAAATAGCAGGGGAAGCCAAAAAAGAAGTGCATACAATTTCCTCTACTTCTTCATATCCAACCAAGTCTGCAAAAATCCCCGGGTGTTGCCTCCTATACTGTCCAAACGGTACACCCTCTCGTACTCTTCTCATATACACAAAAACTATAGCAATAGCAATATCCTGAAAGACGAAAAACCAATTTAATCCATATCGAAAAACCAAAAAAAAAAACTACTACAACATGAGATTTCAGACAAAAGAATTGTCTTACATGGCTCCAAGTGATGGATCTTCATCTGTTTAGTCAAATCTTCAATCTCTTTGCCTTGTCCCTGCGAACCAAATGGATTATTCTAATTGCTAACAAAAACCAACATTTTTGTTTTTAAATGTGATTCTTAGTATTGAATGAATGTTGTTCCGTGATTATTGCGTACCTCGTACAAGGCGGCCCACCACATATTTGATTTTTCATGAAGCGCACTCCAATGTATTGCCATCTCATATTCGACTGTATTAGACTGTGAGAAGTGTGATGTCGACACTGCATTTCTCTTCAGAAAACAACCAAAAAATAAGTTAATTTATCTCAAAAATAAAAAAAATAACGAAAGTAGCATGGATTATTATTACCATCTCTTCACGTTGCCTATATGGTTTTGTTCGATCAATCCTAAGATGACCAAGAAATCCGCCTGAAACACCAGACTTCCCGAGTTTTCTTCTCCGACCAACAATAAGCCTGAGGAGAAGAAATTAACGACGACAAGCAACTATAAACTATCATTGAATAAAAAAAGAAAAAAAAAACTAATCACTGAATAAAAGAGAAATTAAAATTACCTTCCATCGCCAAGTATAAGACAGCCATTGATCAACTGTGAGATGACATTATCTGCTGCTTCTTTCGTTTTGAAAATTACAAGTGCTTGTCCTATTGGGAATATTTTAATTAGTTAAAAAAGAAAAACGGAGGTGTGTAAATTGCAGAAAAAAGAACGAAAGGCTGCGATGACTGTTATACCATTGTGTGGACTGGAAACGGCGGTTGGCTGTACCATCTTTGCCTTAACCTTTTGTTGAAATACATGCCAAACAATATCCTGGTATACAGACAAGTATACTATAACATTGAACTTCCGAGGGACGCAAAGTTGTTTCATATGTTGAGCATGTTTACTTGCATTTTTTTTCGACGTTGCATATAATTCCCGATTTACAAAAAATTAAACATAATTTTCACATAAATGATAAGATTGACAAAAAAATAAAGTTCTTGAACTTATGTACGAAATACCTCCACTTCAGCAGATGTGAATGAAGGATCAAGGTTTTCTAATATGATTAACGTTCCTTTTTCATTGGCTTCGCGCAACCTTTCCCCTTCCCAAACCTGAAAAAGAAAAGTTAGTAGTAAGAACGGTAAGTTACGGTCACCATTGAGGTAATGCCAAATTACGAAAAACTCCTTCCTATTTGGGTAATTACAACCACCTCCTCAACTATGAATCTTCTTACACGTCCACCCTTATGGTGTCAAGTTCAACAAAATCTTCTAGATTCCGCGGAATGTTCTCTAGTTTGTACTCGTTTTGTGCAAAAATGCAGTTTCTGATGCACCACAATCTAAAATTTACAAGCCAAGAGACACATCTTATGATCATCTTGTTTCAAAATGTGGAACTCGAATGGGATAAAACAGGGGTAAAACGGGTACAAACTAGAGAATATTCCACACAATCTAGAAGATTGCCCTAAATTTGACACCACAAGGGTACGTGTAAGAAAATTCATAATTGTAGGGTGGTTGTAATTACCCAACATGAGGGGCTTTTTTGTAATCCGACCTTACCTCAGGGGTGACCGTGATTTACCCAAAATAAGAATAACAACGAAAATCCCATTTCCCACAAAGTGTTCTTCTACATTTACTTTTGTGGTGATAATACATCAACGGTTGTAGCCATAAAGAAGTGTCTTAGACGAAGTTCGATGGGATTATTATATTAGTATCTGATCAAACATATACACTGCAATGCCGTTGACGTGAGTAAAGCCAAAGCAACATGCAGTACTATTTATATCAGTCGTGCGTAGAATTGCGATAACTAGAAAGAAGTTCACTCGGGAAATCAGTTTCAAAACTGAATTTGTTGCAAGGTGCAAACCCTAAGGAATTCAACTTTTAAGAGAAGTTAATTCGACAAGGCGAAAAACTCACCTCTAGCTTAAGCCATTTACTTGAATCCTGCAAACCAACGAATACAAACATGAAAAAAAAGTCCAATGCATTCAAATATTTGAAATTCATCTCGTTGTCAATAATATGCTTGCTACCTAAATGTAGAATATACTTACAATACCGGGCCTTCTCGTGACTTCCGTGTACTTATAACGCATTGTTTGTGTCATATGCTGCTTACTGCCAACTCTTTTGTCAACGAACATTCTCGATTTGTTGTCCAAACTTACCCCAGTAGACAGATATTTCTTCTCTCCGACAGAATCTTTGTCATTCATACGTTTCTCAAGTCCAGAAACTCGAGACAGTGAAGTATAAGGTTGTCCATCATTTCCGGAACCTTCAGCTAGACACATCACACTTTTTGGCATCAACATAAATCCCAAAACAGAGTGCCGATTAAACAAGACAAATTAAAAGATACCTAGAAGAAGCTTTCGTTTCTTCAATGGACTGACACCAGACGGGCTTGCCGAAAGGCAATCTGCAGGTCTCTTGAACTTAATTTTAACTACGGGACGAGACCCCTCTTTCATACTACTCTTCGTCTGCCCACCTGAAGTAGCTGCTACATTTAACCCTGCATGCAAATATCAATAAATATTTATGATAAACGTAGAATTTAATTTTTACAGGTTACTTTCACCACTTTTCAATTTAATTGTAGTGTATTTTTCTAAATTTGGCATACATTAACGAGAAAGAAACAATTGCTTACTGTCGGCACTTTTTTCTTCTTTGGCAGACTGTTCGTTCTTCGTCGCTCTAACGGGTGTTTCTTCACTCCTGGCTTTTGAATGTTCTTTGGGTTCAGCACATACACTAGATTTTGTGCCTTTCTTCCTGTTAAAGAAATGATCGACTGCATAGCAATCATTTCATTGGTTAATTATACCATCTGAAAATATTCTGTAGAATCATAAGTTGCATTAATGATAACACACACACACACACACACACACACACACACACAAGTGTGCACATAATGCAACTGAACATTGACTAACCTTCAACTCCACAAATCGAACTAGGAAACTTGTCTGATATTGTGCACTGTGCGACATCAAAAGTTCGATAAAATATGTAATCAGCCATTCTCAATTCTTCTTCGGATGGTTGAGGATTTCTTTTATGCTTAGACGAACAAGTAACATTGCACTTTCCACTTATCGCTTCCTAAACGACCATTCGGGAAAAAAAAGTGATTTTCAGACATAAACTCACTTCAACATAACATTTCAAGTACTCGAACAACATTTCTTGCTCGCAAGTGAACAAACATTTAAATAGTGGGTTATATGAAGCTAACATATACTTCACCGAACAATTATAAAAATACAAAAATGCATTTGAATCACTGGAGAAATTATTGTAGTGGAAAAAGTACCAGCGGCTCGAGATTTGAAAGACCTTTGCCTTGACCACAAGCAAGGAAAATCTCTCTTCGAAACGGCTTAATATCTCCTAACCAATTAGTTATATCAATGGGACGAAAAAACCACACGACTTCAACATGCTTCTCTCGATTTTCTGTCTCCCATATTTTCACAAGCTTACCAATGTCAGGCTCGTCTTGACCGGCACGCCACAAATACACGCAGTCGTACAGGAAGTACTCAGTACCGTCTAGAGTGAACGATTCATACAAAGTGATAACTTCCTTTTTGATACCCCAAGAAAATTGGAGCTCCTCTTCTTCTTTCGGTTCTTGTAACGGTTTTTCCTTTCGCTCCTCAGATTGAAACATAGCATATATATATACTTAAAGCTCGACAACAAATCTCCGAAAACCTGAACCAATTCGAACGAATAGTAAAGATTCACGTAACGTAACCCGAATTCACATACTAAAAGAAGATGAAACAGAGCTGGTAATGGATTTCATTTTGAAAAATACACGAAAAATAGTTAAAAAAAACTGAATAAACTTCGACCGAGTTTAAATCGAAGCAGCATCAGTTTAATTTTCTAACATATTTATAATGTTTGAACTTTGAACTCACCACCACCAAACGAACAGGACAATCAATTTTCTAACATATTTAATTCTATACTAAAATTGAGTTTAATTTCAAACTATTAATCACAAATCAATTAAGAATGTTATAAATTCAAAATATTTCAACAAATAATCAACAAAATAATTATTAATTACGATGAAAAACATTTTCCATTAGAACGACGAAGAAAGGGGATGCCAATATATACATACACACACACACCACCGCACCGTAAAAACACGCATTTGCACACGCGAAAGTACACACAGCTTTCACACAGCACACACCTTACTGCGTGTGTGCGCGGTTAAAAAAAAATTGAAGAAATTTCTTACCTGTCTTCTTCAGCTGCTCCTTTCGAAAGAGGGGTAGGGTTTGTGAATTTTGATTCCGGTAGAAAAGATGCTGGGTTTCATTGCGGAGAACGATGTTTGCTATTAAAAGAAAAAAAAAATTGCTTTTCTTTTTTATTTTTGAGGAACGAGTTGAACTTATGTAGTAATGGCATACCTTGGCTACAGTGCGCGGGGGATGCGTACACAGCCACGGGAGGAGTGCGGTGGTACTAACATGCGCGGGTGGCGATATCTGGACGATGGGACTGTACGGACACGCCCGGATTTGATGAGCGTACACCATGCAGCAGGGCTGCAGGGCAGAACAGAAGAGTTGACAGAACATAACTGCGTTGAGCTTTGACGCGCGTAGTACACGCGTGGTAAGCACTCGTTAGAATTTTTTGATATTTATTTAAATAAAGGAAACATTCATGTATACGTAAATATTACCTCCAACCATTTATACTTAATTCTTAATTGTAATCCCAATTTAATCAATTTTGTCCACAAAAATCTAATTTTGACCACAAAAATCTAATTTTGACTATTTTTTTTTCAAAAACTTTTTTTTTGCTGCCGGATTCCGGCGTTGACTTTTCGATTTTTTTTTCTTCCGAATTTTTTCGCCGGTTTTGACCGCCGATCTCCGGGGTTGACTTTTTTAGATTTTTTTTTTACGTCCGTCGCTAAACGTTGACCGTAATTGTGCTGTTACTGATAGTAAATTAATGTAATTATACTGTCAATGACAGTTAATTAACGTAATTGTACTGCCGTTGACTGTAAATTAACGTAATATTATTATTTTTTATTTTTTGTTATTTTTTTTTTTTATTTTTTTTGATTTGTTGACAAGTCAACGTAATTATATTACTGTCGTTGACAGTAAAGTAACTGTAAACACAATAATATTACTGTCAACAACATCAATATTATTATTTTTTGGGATTTTTTGTTTTGTTTGAGTTATTCACGAAGTAACGTAATAATATTACTGTCTATTATTGTAATATTACTGTAAACACAATAATATTACTGTGGTTGACGGTAATATTACTATTGTTATAGTAATATTGTTGTCAACCACATCAATATTATTATTTTGTTTGGGTTTTTTGTTTGTTTGAGTTATTCACGGAGTACCGTAATAATATCACTGTCTATTGTTGTAATATTACTATGGTTGACGGTAATATTACTGTTGTAATAGTAATATTACTGTCTCTCACAGTATTATCAATTCTTTTGGCTTTTTATTATGTTTACATTTGTTGAACGGTCAACATATTAATATACTCTATTACACAATAATAATGAGTTTTGTTGTGTTAATGTTATTGTGCTAGAGATTAATATAGCAATATTGTTGTGTTAACATGTATTTTAGTAAATTTTACTGTGTTTAACTGTAATATAGTTAATATTACTGTCAATCACAACAATATTGTTGTTTAAACGAAAAAAAATGTTACAGAAAGAAAAAAAAAATCAACGCCGGAAACCGGCGAAAAAAAAAATCAACGCCGGAAACCGGCGAAAAAAAAAATCAAAAAAATCAAAAAGTCAACGCCGGAATCCGGCGGCAAAAAAAGTTTTTTGAAAAAAAACATTTTGTTGAAAACAAAAAAGTTTTGGGGTCAAAATTGAATAATTTTGGGTCAAATTGAGGTTAAATTAAATTAAGGATGAAATTGGAGCATATTAAAGTATGAGGGGCTATGTTAGTATTTTACAAAAATCTGGACCATGTGTGTACTTATTTGTAAATGAGTTTTTTGTTTGAATCTCTTTATGAATACGTACTCATTGATGGACTTATTTGTAATCACGCTCTATTATTAATTAAATTTCAGAAAGAACATATTTATCCTATAGGGTTTGGTAACAGTTACCCCCAGTGGCAAAAATTTAGGGTATGCCGGCTGTGCCGAGTCCAAGAATTTACTGTACAGTGGGGTTAAATGTTTGGGGGTTTGGGGGCAGCGGCCCCGGAAAAAAATTTTGAACCTTTTTTTTGTTGGATAAATTAGGAGAAGGGAAAAAAAAAATTGTAACTTTTTCTTTTTTTTGATAAATTAGGAGAAGAAAAAATTTGGGACTTTTTTTTGTATATTTTGAATTTCGGGTGGACTAAATAATAATATAGATATAATATAATATATTTTTGGGGAGAGGGGCTAAAAAAACAAGAGAAAATTTAGGACCTTTTTTTTATATATTGAATTTTGAGTGGACTAAATAATAATATAGATATAATATAATGTATTTTTGGGGAGAGGGGCTAAAAAAAAGAAAAAAGTAAGGACTTTTTTTGTATATTTTGAATTTTGGGTGGACTAAATAGTAATATGGATATAATATAATGCGTTTATGGGAGAGGGGCTCAAAAGAAATTTAGACAAAGTATTAAACAATATTTTTTTGTACCACAATGGAGTCGAACTCATGAGTTCAACTAAGGCAAATTTATTTTCAATATTTGGGGTGGTCCATGGCATACTTGGCCACCCCCTAATTCCGCCCCTGGTTACCCCTAATTAATAAATTTAAGGGTAAATTACAAACACCCCTGAGGTATGGTCAATTACAAAACCCCCCTCTTGTTTGGATAATTACAACCATCCCTCAACTCCTCAAGTTTAGTAAAATTTTCGAGATTATATGGAGTATTATCACTTTTGTATCCGTTTTATCCCATTCGAACTCTACAATATGAAACAAGATGATCATAATATGTGTTTTTTAGCTTGTATATATCAGATTGTGGTGCATCGAAAACTGTATTTTTACACAAAACGAGTATAAACTAGAGCACATTCCATGTAATCTAGATGATTATGTTGAATTTGACACTATGAGGTGTAAGAAAAAATCATAGTTGAGGGGATAAATGTAATTATCCAAACTCAAAAATTTACACTAAAAAATATATTTTTTTTCTCATTTTAATACCAAAAATTAAAAAGACTCTCTAATGGATGTTATTTAGAAAAATACACGAAAAATAGTAAAAAGAACTGAATAAACTTCGACCGAGTTTACATCGAAGCAGCATCGGTTAAATATTTTAACATATTTATAGTGTTCGAACTCACCACCAAACGAACAGGACAATCAATTTTCTAACACATTTATACTTAAATTGAGTTTAATTTCAAACTACTAATCACAATCAATTAAGAATGTTATAAATTCAAAATATTTCAACGAATAAATAATGAATATGTAATAATAAAAAAAAAATTCGACAACCTTTCAAAAACTAAACTCTATTATTTCAGTATTATAAATTTACGAAGTATTATAAATTTACGAATGAAAAAAATTGAATTTTAGTTTTATTTTTTGTATTACTATGTTCATCTATAGTTAATAAAAAGCAATGTTTTCAAAACCGGACCGGACCGGCCGATTCGACCGGTTAAACCGGGAACCGGCTGGTCATCCGGTCCGGTTCTATGCATAAAACCGAAAATGCCTAAAACCCGGGTCAAACACTGAGAACCGGGAAAACCGCGGTCGAACCAACAAAACCGGAAACCGGCCAGAAAACCGGGTTTTGTAAAACAAATTCAAAACAGACAAATTAATAGTTGAAAATCGATCTTCTTCTCGATTTGGGTTGTTGCAGAGTTGAGTGGTGAGGAAAGAGGAGCCAAAAAGAAAAAATAGTAAAAAAAAAATTAAGAAAACCAGACGCAGGGGAAAGGGGAAAGAAGAGAGAAGAGAGAGAGATGAGTGGTGTCGGCGGAATGACGCTGACAAATTTGTAAACTAGGGTTGGGTTAATGTATTAGTTATTGATTTATCTTTTTAATGTTTTATTAATGCTTTTAAGTTCTCGTAAAGGTATATTAGTGTAGAAATACTTCAATTATGTTTTTGCTTGGTTGAAAATTTATGCTCATAAACTTTTTATTTAAAGTTTATGTCTGAGAAATTTATTTGTGTTATAGAATAATAAATATTAGGAATTAAAATAACTCATATATGCTTTGAATAAAACTAAGAAGTATTGCACTGTACGAAGAAAGCAAAATAAAATATTTGCTGGAGGAATTCATATATCTAATTCCATAGCCCAACATCACTATATATACAAACTAATTACAAGATGTGTCATGCTTCCAAAGATAAGCAACAAGTAGGAGGTGACACGTATCTTATCAAAACTTAGTCCACAAGATTACAATATTATATATTATAATACTCCCCCTTGGACTAAGTATTATCCGTAGCGGCTATAAATTGGATGAGTAAAATGTATGCCTCGTTAAAAACCTCAAGCCGGAAAACCCAGTGGGACAAAACCGGTCGGAAGGGAAAAAGAGTGCATGACTCAATCCAAGCCGTGTGCATAAGCTGCCTCGTTAAAAACCTTTGCTGGAAAACCCAATGGGACCAAAACCAGTCATAAGGGAAAAAGAGTGCAGCGCACC